TCGTCTTGAATGTTGCATCTGCCCTTTGGCTAACTGGTACTCATGGCCATATAGTGCAGTGATCAATATCTCCACGATACTCGCGACTTAGGCTCAAATCCCATGCAGTCTCTGCATTAGTAAGCCTTTTGGGAGAAAAGACTGAATGTAACTTAGTGCGACTACCTATTCTCTGAGTTTTGTATGGTGGTGTGCCATTTTGTAAAGCCTGCTTTATTGCTTTGTCACATGACATACGAAAACTGAGCATGGGTTCGCCAGGGTCGCAGAATGCTGAGCCGACTGCTCCAAGGCAGTCCTCCTTAGGTTTCAGATGAGACCAATTCGCCAATTCTCACAAAGCAACTTTTCCTGCAAAATGGAATGTCGAGTCAAACTTACTACCCTTTGTGATAAATTGAAAAATCAGTCAAAAATCCCTTCAAATGACTTGCGTGACTCATAACGCGAATATCAAGTGGCTGAGCGCTCATCTTCGTCATTGCAAAATGGCCACCAGGATAGCAAAGATTGTCGAAATTGCGCCCGGGACCACACCTCTTCCCCTGTGTTTGTGTATTTTTTATCCGAACAGGAAATATAACCATGCAGGTTTTCATGTGTCATGCGGAAACAGTATGCTTTCTTTCTAAGCGCGCAAAGCTTCCTTCTCGCTCTCGTAAGCCCAACATCCACACTCTGATTAGACCCTTATGAGGTTTATCTGCTTGAATTCCAGATTGTGAAACATTCCGTTTCATTCGGAGAATACCTTTCCGTACACATATGAGCGGTTGCAGTGAAATCTAGCGTCTACAAGTTAATAGGTAAACAATAAGAAAGAAATATAATTTTACAAGGGATGAAATAATGTGAAAATGTGCATAATATGTTCTACTATAGACAAGCTTAAATTGCAGCCTGACGACTCGGTCGTTCCAGCAGGTCGTGACCTAATGCTTAGGTAGTGAACAGGAGATTTGGGGGCTGTACTCGCCGCAGTTACAAACTTCTCCATTCGAGCAGCTGATGTAAGAGGTATAAATTGTTCTATTGTCAGAAACGCCAATATCTTGGGCCATGGTGTTTGACAGATTCGGTAAAGTGTTCATTGTGTAACGGTGCCAGCCAGCTTGGCTATTATGTGGAATAAAGGGAGGGCAACTTTGGTAGCAAATTTCCTCTCCTTCGGCGTAGCCCTCGATGGATGGTATTCTGATGGAATTATACGCCTGGCCCTCAATGTTGAATTCATCCTTAAAGGGACTGACTGATTCAACGTTATCGTTATGAGGCATGAAATTGTCGCACGAAAAATTTTGCTCAGCAGGATAAGGATTTTCAATCAAAGAATACTGCCTACTTAAAGTAGCAACAGATGTTTTCGCCCTATTAACATTTGTCGACGCAACAGCCACGGCGGCTGCGGCAACTGCCATTGCGGCAGCAAATGTGTTGTCCAGCCTCGGCTCCATACTGGCCTTGTCACTAGGTTCCTTATCAGGTGGACTTTGCACCTTCTCAAAACAATTCTGGATAGGCATTTCAATGTCCAGGCCGAAACGGAGGCTGTTGCCGAATTGCTTGTGCTCAAAGGAAAATGGAAATGCGGTTGTTGTCCCGTGTACTAGTGCTTCAGTCTGAATTGTTGGACAGCTCTCAAATGTTGCCTCCTCTGAAGACGAAGACGCAGAAGAAGAAGAAGTCGACGAAGCCGAAGAGGTCCGTATAGCAACGTCTGAAGGTTCATGTAAGTAGAAGTCTGCCTTACGATTGTCCCCACTCCCTTCGCCGGACCTGCATTTAGATGGAGAGATTGAAGTGAGGGAAGATACGGAAAATTAGAAATGCATATTCCACTTGTGGACCGCGCCCAAGTCCAAACGCCATGGGCTTTGTAGAGCCACAACTTCAAGTCCAGACGAAGTGGCTGGTGTGAATGAAACGAATGTAGATGTTCGAGGCTAAAGCCTGATTTATTTGTGTCCTCTTGACCAGCCGATGCATGAGCTGCATTTCGACAAGAGTACAACGCAAAAGGCTAAAATGCTCAGATCGATTTTTTTCGCTTTTGCCGCAGGCTGAGATAACTTTTAAAATGTTGCACTCTCGTACCTTGGCCTGCCAGATGGCCCCGATTTGGGACATTGCTCATGCAGTAGAGGTCAATCGATCGGAATGAGGAATAGTCCGATTTCACCTGCTCACATTGTGCTTGGTTTGGTGGCCGACTGTGTGGATTTAGATTGTCAATAAACTGAGCAAATGGACTGGCCAAATGTGAAACTGTAAAATATCTTTATGCCTCCACTCTTGCATGCACCCTACCGTTGTAGACGAACACTCTTCCGAATATGTGTTGTACAGACAGCCAACCTCCTTTGCTCACTCTGCACTGACTCAGCCCAACGCCTAGTCGAGGTCTATCGATAGCGCATATTTTGACCATTTCAACCCGCCTAAAACGGAGACGGAAATGAAAACGAAGAATAGTTGCAGTTGTGGTATATGTCCTGTCCAATTCAGTCCGACAATGGTCTCTC